AGATACAATCTTGTTCGTGTCTACATTTTAAAGCCAGGACTTGCAGTTAACTTTAAAAAGGAAGCCCTGACTATGAAAGGATGTTTGTGATCAGTAGGAAATAATTTAACTCTTAAAAAGAAACAATGATGGGAATTCCTGAGGAGTCCTAGGAAGACACTGTCTACAAAGTGCTTGAAATGGATAAGTCCAGCAAAAGATAAGGGGGAAAATTAAATAACGTCAATCTTTTTGTTTTCATAAGCAGAAAGCGGGGGGAAAAAGTCAGATCTATAATACCGGCCATCCGTAATTTTCAGAGTTAAAACAAGAGAGGACAAATGAAAAACAAAACAAACATGATCTAGGGGATGACAACGGGGTGCAGAAACAAGAATGTAGAAGCTATCGTTCTGTAGAGATTCTGTATTGGCAGCTGAAGGTGGCGAATATTATCAAGGGGGGGTGTTGGCCTCCTGCCACTCTCCTGCCAGCACCCCCTCTAACGCTGGGGTTCCCTGACTCCCACATTCCTCTCTCAAAAGCAACACAGCCAACTGATGCTGCCACCATGACATGCCCTCTACCCGGCTTCCAGGATGACCCCTTTCAGATGCTTCTCTGTCTTCTTTTTTGCCTTAGTGACCCTTTTCAGCTAAGTGTCAGAAGAAAAGCTACTGATCAAAGAACATGGACACTATCAAGTAGAAAAATCTTAATATTTCTGAGGCATGTCCTTTTTAAAATGAAGACCTAACAGATGTAAAATGCCAGCAGACAGGAGTGACTCAAAGCTATTCTCTCTCCCCATCCCTCTGATTCTTTTCCTTATTGGTTTTTCCAAAAACATTAGTCACTTCAACTAAATAATAGCGAGGTATGTGGCTGACTCCTGGTCTGCACTCCCTGAATAGAGATGCTGATGAAAAACTGTGCAGCTGGTAAAGCTGAACTCTGTGTCCTTCACCAGTCTTTCAGCAGGCCACGTGGGTTGAGGACTGGCGATAACTTCAATATTCACCGTCTAAGGAAGCCCAGTCCAGAGGTGGAATTGATGGCAACCTGCCATATCTATTGGAAGACTTTGGGGGACCTTCCCATAGCTTCTCAATATCATTATGACCATTCTACCCGCCCCTGAGTTCTGCCCAGGGTAGCCCCTAGGTGAGGCGGTCCACATACCTTTATTTAGTGCCGGCTCTATGCCAGATCCTGGCTCCATGCCCTCTTGTGTCAGGTGCTGGAGGTCACCAGGGGAAGGTGACAATCCAGGGCCTTACAAGGAGCAAACAGATTGTCCACATAAAAGACTGGCCACGCTAAGTTTTCGCCTGTGCAAAGTGTAATCCGCTTTGGAAGGAAGCTTGTTGCTTTCTCACCTTGTGGCCTAAACATACTGGCGACAGTTTCAGAGCTTCCACGGTCTGTACCTAAAGGAAGAACTCGCCTCTCCAACTGCGAGGACACACCTTCTGCTCCACAATTGACACCTAAGCTGCTGATCAATAAACCCAGTGCAGGCCCCTGGAGATAAGCCTTTTAAATAAAGCGGACTGTAGACAACAGTCAATGTCACTTAGGTTTAACCTAACAGTCATTTTATTAGCCATCTGAAAAAGCAAACCCTGAGGGGATTAGGATTGTTATCCACAGGAAATGGAAATAGGACCTGTGGGACCAGTACTCCAGAGGAAAGGGGGCGGACCTTCTAGTAGAAAATAAAAGGTTTTCTAAAAACCTTATTTCCAAATCAAAGAGGCTTCTAAAATGAAATGGACATAGGAAACCCAGGCCCAGCGGATTTAGGAAAAAAAAAAAATCTAAAAAATAAAAATCTTTCCTATGTGCCCAGAGAGTCTCTCTCACTTCACCGTTGTGGGGCAGGGCAGGGAGGGGTGTGGGGGGCTCCAGTGTGTTTATTAGCGGGATCCACCCTGATCCGACCCCTTGACTGGGGGGTGGGGTGCGGGAGGGGGGCAGCCCGCGCTTCCCCGCCTCCTCCTTGCGCCCCTCCTCCTCCTTCCTGCGCCACAAGTAGCCGAGGCCCGAGAACTCCTTGCAGAAGTTCTCCCGGCATCGCCGAGAGCACGTTTTTCGCAGCCCCGGACTTGCCCGGTGCCGACGAGCTCGGGGCTCGGGCGCCGAGCGCCGCCTGAGCCCCGCTCCCGCCCGCTCACCGTGCTCTGTCGCCCCAGGTACCCGCGCCGAGCAGCCGCAGCAGGTGGCGTCCGGGGTGGGCTCAATGAAGCGCAGCCTGAGAAGGATGCTGCGCCCTGGGGAGAAGAAGGAACCCCAGGGCGTGGTCTACCAGGGCGTGGAGAGCGACATGGACGACTCCAAGGAATCGTTTAAGGTACGCGGGGCGGCGAGGTCCGGGCGGGGGTCGGCTCCCCGCTTGGCCCTCCTGGGTTCCAGGTCTCGTTGCGCGCAGCCCCGGGATGGGAGCGCGCGAAGCGCGGCGCGCTGAGGGCTGCTGGCTTGGGGAGCGTGGAGCGGGGTGCACGCGGGGGCCTTCTCGGAATTGGGGGGGGGGCCCTGAGGGTCGCCTTGGTGAGGCGCCCACACCGTGTGCCTGCTCTGTCCTGCTTGCTTGATCGTGGATGGCCAGCGGCAGTCTGGGAGAGCGACCCAAAAAGTACGCGCGGCATTGGGCAGAATCGGGCAGCTGCCTAAAATCAGGACAATTGTGGAGCGTGTGCTGCTTCACTAGACCCTTCTGTAGATTTTAATTTGGAACCAAACAGCTGCATGGCTGTACCTATATGGTCGGATTTCCAGAAGGTGCCTTGGCGGGGAGGAGCGTTCGTGTCCGGTGGAGTGAAATGGCGGGACTGGAGCAGTCTCCCCGGGGTGGGGGCGTCGGGAGACGCGCTGTGCACGGGAAGACCCCTTGAAAATGGGTAGATGGTCTTCCGGGGTTCTGTTCCTTAGGCGGTTTCCCCGGCCATGTGACCCAAAGGCAGCATGAGCTGCCACCGCCCTCTGACGGCCCAGACTGAGGGCAGAGGCTGTAGGTGCTCAGAAAACCCTCCACCGGGTTCCCGCAGCTTGTCAGCAGGAGGACGGGTCTCTTGCTAAACGGTCTCTCCAAACCCCCACCACAAAATCCCTTTCCACAGTGGAACCATATTAACAGTTCCTTATGTATTTTCCGGGCAGAGGGATGCTTACACAAATGCAAAGGTTCATAGCATATACAGTAATACCTTGGTTTGCGAGCATAATTCGTTCCGGAAACAAACTACTCACATTGCAAGACATCGCTCGTTTACCATGTTGAAACGTATTAGAAACGTTTGCTCGTCTTGCGGAACACTCGCAAACCATGTTACTCGCAATCCAAGGTTTTACTGGATATCTTTTTTATTTACAAAAGCCGGAAGTCACAGAGGTTTGCAATTTGATTAACTCATGAAATATTTTTCAGACAACTTTTCAAATCAGTACCTGGAGATATGCCTCCCTCTTTTTAGCAGCTTTGTAGTATTCCCTTATATGAATGTATCATGATTTATTTAATCAGTTCTGCATCCATGGGCATTTAGGTTGTGTCTGGTTTTTTGTTTTATTACATGTGATTGAATGTGTCTGTGAGGGGAGACGTGAATTCGTCTGTCCACTGGTACCTCAGTGGATATGTTCGGATGTTCAAGTCCTAGCAGGATGAAGAGGTATATATAACTTTAATTTGGGTAGAAATTGCCAAATTGCCCTCTACACAGATTGCATGAATTGACACTTGCCAATTATGTGTGTGAATCAGGCATGTATGCAAATCACAGAAACCCACAAACCAGGCCTCCCAAGGTGAGTCTATTTGAACACTCTGATTGCACACAGACTTTTTTCCTCCTCCTTAATATTAGTATGTTAACCAAGGTCTTTTGGCTTAATCCAAAGAACTGAGGCCATGAGCGGATTTCAAGCACTAGGATAGTGTCTTTGGAATTGATATTATGGGACAGGAAGAAATTTTAAAAATTTGAAAATTACACCAGAAATACTTCCTTTGCTTACCTAAGTCAAGTAGAGCCAATTAGGTTGTTTAATGCTTTTGGAAGCCACATTCGAGTTTATAGATTGAAGGATTTATATTTTAGTTTATTCCCTGCACTAATTCTAGATCATTCTGTTGAAATCTCAGTGGTGAGATGAATTAGAAATCAATACATGTTAACACTGTCAATCATTCTGAACTCAAAGGATTTCCTGATTAAAAAAATATTGTGTATACTATTTTTTCCAGCACACACACGCACGCTCAGGAATACTAACAAATTTGAAGAGTGGGAGAAACCTTACAAGATGAGAAATGTGGAAAAAGGACCATCTGACGCAAGCCTTTATCTATCCTTTCCAATGACTTCCTTTCAAGAGTTAATACTTTAGCATTTGACCTTTCATTTGTTATAATCTTGCCCTTTAGCTAGCTTCCTTTTTGCCCAGTTAACCCTCACATGCATTTCATTAAAGCAACTGGAAACAGGTGTACTTGATACCTCTAGTTTAAAGAATTCACTTCTTTAAAGGTGATCCAGTCTGTTGTGTTCTGCATCTAGTCATATAGTTCAGAATCCAAGACTCTGAAGCGACCTGTGACAGTACAAAGCTACATTGAATGAATATGTAACCATTTGTCTAAATGACATTTTTGGCTTACTCTCAAAGCTTTCTTTAAGAAGGCTCTTTAAAGCCTAACTTAATATGTCATGTACTGAATTTACACCGTTTAGCACATCTGATGAGTTGGTAGAAAGTATTTCATTGCTCCGGTGTCACTGTGAATTCAGCACCTTGCAAGCATCTGCACCAGGTTGGCTCTCAAGAGTGTGTAATTGGGTTTGTGTTGACAGCGCGTTGCTGAACAGACCTATATACATCGCTCTTTCTGGCGCTGGTGTGAGCAATATAATCCCTTTGTTATCACTGGAAAAACATATCAAATTCAAGCACTAAAACACTTCCAAATGGATTTAGGTAAACAGTCCTTTGATAGGGTAAGACACTGAGAAAGAGCCTGTTTATGTAAGGTACTCATTGTAAATTTCTTAGTGAGTATGTGTAAATTTGGAAAATCTAGCCCATTTTTATATTCTACATTTACTAAAGCTATGTGTAGCTTATATAGAATTTTGTTGTTGAAAGGTAACACATCTGTATGTAAGGGACTGCCATGGAAGAGTGGTTTCTTAGGCACTATAACAGAGGAAAATCAAAGATCAAAATTTTAAGAGATTTTGTTTTAGTTATTTTAACCTGACATTTATTATATGAATTGCAAATGCTTACTTCTTTATTAACTATATTAAAATACATTAAGTACTTTAAGACTTCATTTTATTTCATGACAGCTTTTAATTTTAATACTGAGAAATGTTCTGGTTATCTTCAAGATAACAAATCAGGGGTTTGGACACACATATTACTGCGTGA